TTTGCGACCCCTTCAAATTTAGGCGGATTATATATATATATATATATATATATATATATATATATATATATATATATATATATATATATATATATATATATATATATATATATATATATATATATATATATATATATATATATATATATATATATATATATATATATATATATATATATATATATATATATATATATATATATATATATATATATATATATATATATATAATATAATAATACACGATTAGCACGGATCCTTATAATGCCTACCTAGCTGTCCCAAGAACTTATACAGAAAGTTAGCGTACACATCAATGTAGCCTGTGATGCAAATTTTGAAATCGTTTAATTTTGTCCGCGGAAAATAATTTAATTTGAATGTTCAAATTAAGTCAAATTTTGACTTCATAGTGCGCCAATAAAAAGAATGTAGAATTTGAACCACTCAACATAATTTGATAAAGTTGGTACATGTAGCCAACAGTCACACCAAATTCTGGACAAAATTTCAGCTTAATTGGATGACTAATGTGAATTTATTGCAGTTTTGTCATATCACCTAAAATTCACGCCGTCTTCTACCACATCAAAGGTTTCATCAGTCACAAAGGATCCCCCTTGGTAATACAATGTAAAAAAGGGTTAAAATAGTTTTCACTTCAGTTTAAGTCAATTCAAAATATTTTAGGAGACCTACTTTTTTTTTGTTTTACTAACTGGTAGTCCTTTGACCAGGTTTTGCACTTTTTTTTAGTTGTTTTTTTTTTTGGCGCAGTTTATACCTAAGGAAATGTTGGTATATTCAAGCGAAGCATACATAGCCGTCAACGCCGGGGAGGGTAGGGGGTAATGTTCTTTTCTACTTTTTTTTTCGAGGATCTTTTGTTTTAGAAATTTAGGAAATTATTTTAGAAATTATGGATTTTATTTTAGAAATTGAGGGGTTGACCCCCTCCACTTTAAAGGCCTTCTCGACACCATTAGCATAAGACTATTTAAATCACGCTTTTTTTTTCTTTTCTTTTTTTTTTTTTTTTACAACACAAGTATTCGTATATATTTCAATAAAACAAAATTACATATTTTTACATATAAGTACAAAACTTTTTCCTGATCGTCTAAAAATTGCAAAAGTTATTCCAATTTTGAAAGAAGGAGACTGTTGCAATATCAGTAACTATCGCCCTATATCTATCCTTTCTACCTTTTCAAAAATCTTACAGCGTATTATGTACAATAGAGTATACAATTATCTTGTCTCCAATAATCTTTTTTATTATAATCAATTTGGTTTCAAAAAAAATAATTGTACCGAACATGCAATCATCCAATTTGTACGAGAAATCTTAAATTCCTTTCAAAGATCACAATATACATTAGGTGTTTTTATTGACTTGTCGAAGGCTTTTGATACTGTTGACCATGAAATCCTTCTTGAAAAACTAAAATACTATGGATTAAATTATATAACTATAAAATGGCTTCGTAGTTACTTATCAATCCGCAAACAATTTGTTTTTATTAATAACTATAACCAAAGCCATCTACTAAATATTTCCTGTGGTGTTCCCCAAGGCTCTATCTTGGGGCCAATTTTGTTCTTAATCTATATAAATGACTTAAATAAAGCCTCAAACTTAATGAGTATCATGTTTGCCGACGACACCAACTTATTCCTGACCAATAATGACATACCCAAACTCTTTTCTATAATGAATGATGAACTCAAAAACATTAATAATTGGTTCAATTGTAACAAGTTAACTCTTAACATTAATAAAACCAAATGGGTTCTTTTCCATTCACTCTCTAAAAAACGCTATTTTCCCCTACATTTGCCCAAAATATTTATTGATAAAGTTGAAATAAAAAGAGATTTTGTTACTAAATTTTTAGCAGTGGTTCTCGACGAGAACATTACATGGAAACCGCATATAGAATATATCTGCTCAAAAATATCTAAAAGTAACGGAGTCTTATATAAATCTAGATCATATTTAAACAAAAAAGCTGTAACCCAACTCTATTATTCATTTATTCATACCTATATTAATTAGGCCAACATTGCGTGGGGAAGCACCGAAAAAAGTAAGCTAAAATGCCTTTTTCGCCGTCAGAAGCATGCAATCCAGTTGATTAATTTTGCGGATCGTTTTACTCATTCCAAACCATTATTTATGGAGATGAAAATACTTAATATTTACGAGCTCAATGTTTATAACATTTTATGCTTTATTTACATGTGGAAAAACGATTTAACTTTACCTGTCTTTAAAAACTTTTTTTCTCTAAACCCAATTAATAAATATTTACTTAGAGATAAAAATTTTGTACATGAACCTATTTGCAGAACAAAATTTAACAAATTTTGCATTACATTTTGAGCACCCTATCTTTGGAATAAAATTGTTATACCTAATTTTGATATATCCAATACATTTCCGATCTTTAAAAGTAAGCTTAAAAATTTTATTTTATCTATCGATGATATATTTAAATACTTTTTTATAACAATCACGTATTTATCTTTTTAATTGTAAGACTGTTGTATTTTCTCTTGCCTTTAAAAATAGATATGTATTACTGTATTTACTATATATATATATATATATATATATATATATATATATATATATATATATATATATATATATATATATATATATATATATATATATATATATATATATATATGTATGTATGTATTTATATATTTACGTTTTTATAAGATCTGATGATATTGATCAGACTTTTTATTATATATAACATTAGTGGTTTGGTTTATATTTCCAATTTATATCACGATTTATTGTAATTTTTTAGTTTTGTTAATGTATTGATTTTAAAAAACTTGTAAAAGGTTCTGATGAAAAGATCATTATGATCTTCTTTCAGAAGCCTTGTCTCTTTGTAAACAACGACAAAAATAAAACGAAAAAAAAAACAAAAAAAAAACGTACAATTATACAATTTTTGTACCATTAAAATTTTTAAAAGACAAAAGAAATTCAAAATTCTGTTCAGCGCATGCGCGTTGTACAGTGTACAAAATAAGGTAACTGTTCGTTGTTTATAATATAAAGTGCTGGCTATTAACCCATGCATTTAAAAAATATATGTAAGTTCGTCGTACCACAGGGTTACTGGGGACTTGCTTGTAGACGTTGTTGAATATATATATATATATATATATATATATAATTATTCTTAAAAAATATTTTTCTTTGTTGTAAGGAAACTCGCAGAAGACTAAAATAGTTCTTTCATCGAGAACCTTTAAAACATAAAATAAACTTTAATGAACTAGTTCAACAAATACACATAAGTATTTTGGTATCTACTATATAGTAGAAGTAGCAGGGCTTTTTATTATTACTATTTTTCCCAAATTGTTTAATACATTTCGATGAAGTTGGTTAAGTTAATTATGATATGTTTTAGTTTTTTTTTCAGAGCAATAAGGTTATTCATTTTATTAAGTTCCATATTTTGAAGTATTATTTTGTTATGTAAGTATGGGCCACGGTATATTAAAGAAAATCGCGAGAACTTTGTTTTTATTAAAGGCAAGGTGAAGTTGCTTGTTCCTCGTGCGATATATTTGTTTGCGTTGATATGATACGCTTTAAGTAGAAAATCACTATTTTGGTCTATAAAATGAAAACTCTACATGTACCAATAAAATAATTATAACAAAAATTGTTGGTATTACATAGTAGAACACTCATGTAACCGTTATTTTAAAAATAGTGACCGAATTTAAAAGTAACTGGTAACGCTTTGAGGTACAAGCAGCAAAAAATTGACAAAACTTTAACTAAAACTGCAATAAATCCTACACCAGACATCCAATCAGGCTGAAATTTTGTCCAGAGTTTGTTGTGACTATTGGCTACATGTACCAATTTTATCAAATTATATTGAGTTTTATTGGCGCACTATGAAGTCAAAATTTGACTTAATTTGAACATTCAAATTAAATTATTTTCCGCGGACAAAATTAAATGATTTCAAAATTTGCATCACAGGCTACATTGATGTGTACGCTAACTTTCCATATAAGTGGTGTTGTCGGAACAGCTAGGTAGGCATTTTAAGGATCCGTGAATATACAATACTGTTGAGATTTAACGCCATGTTAAATCTTTTACAGACATAACAAGAAAGTTAATGGTAGTCAATTACGTTTAGTTTAGATTTAAATAAGTTGAGATTTTTAACTTCCACTGTTTTAATTGGTAAATTGTTCCAGAACTTGACTGTGTAATTTGTAAAAAAACTTTCACGATTTCGATTTAAGTATTTCTTATCGGTGAATAAATGATGCTTATTACCTCGAATGTTTAAACAAGGACCAGAATGTTGAGGAGGTATTTTCCAAGTTATTTTCTCAATACCATAATACCATTTGTACATTTGTTTGAGATTACCTAGTGTTCTTCTTTGTTTTAAAGATGTTAATTTCATTTTTTCTAGTCTTTCACTGTATGATAGATGACGTAGCTCAGGTACAGATTTCGTTACTCGTTTTTGAATTTTTTCTAATATATTTATATCTTTTTCAAAATAAGGACTCCATACCTGTTTTTCAAATTCTAAATTAATATAACTACAATACAACAATTTTATTAGTTCACTATTTTTATACTTAAATGATTTGTATATTATACCAAATTTATAGTTTGCAATAGATGATGTAATTTTGATTTGTAGTTTCCATTTTAAGTCATTCGAGATTAATATGCCTAGATCTTTTTCCAATGTAGTTGTAGTTAATTCTTGCTTTATATTATTGTTAGTCATGAAATATTTATAGTTTTTATTTTTGTTACCAATATGCATGATTTTACATTTTTCAATATTGAATTGCATTTTCCAGTTTAGTACCCATTTTTCCAACATAGAAATGTTATTTTATAAAGCATGTACATCCGTTTCATTATTTACTTCAGCTATTACTTTACAATCATCTGTATACAACAACAATTGGTTTGTAAGTTAGTTTGGAAGATCATTGATGTATATTAAAAATAAAATTGGACGAAGCACAGAACCTTGTGGTACACCGCTTACTATGTCTACCCATGATGATTCACTTTCTCCAAGTACAACTCTTTGCTTCGTATCAGTTAAAAAAGAAATTATCCACTTCAATGACGTAAATGTAATTCCATATGCTTCAAGTTTTAGTGCTAATCTCCTATGTGAAACTTTATTGAAAGCTTTTTTAAAATCAGTATAAAGGATGTCAAACGATTTACAATTTGCAACACCTGTTGTTACTATATCCATGTACTCTAGGAGATTAGTGGTGCAACTTCTGCCTTTTGTAAAACTATGCTAATTAAAAAATAATAAATTGTTAATCTTTAAATAATGTAAGAGTTGGTTAGATATTACACGTTCTAAAGTTTTACAAAGAATTGAAGTCAAGGAAACTGGCCTATAATTTGAAACATTATTTCTACTGCCATTTTTAAACAGCGGCGTTGTGTTTGCTGTCTTCCATGAAATAGGTATTATACCTTCATAAATTGATTTGTTAAATAATAAAGTCAATGGATTAGAAAAAGCATTTACACATTCTTTTATCACAAAAGGAATCATCTTTATCTCTTATAAATACTGATTGAAAATAATCATTCAAAGTATCAGCGATCTGCTTTTGGTCCGTAATAATGCACGAATTAGAATCTTTAATTGATGTTAAACTTTTAATTTTTTGTTTTTTGTTGATATAATTATGCACCAGTTTTGGATCCGATTTTGCTTTTTTAGCTATGTATTTTTCATACTCTATTGTAGCTTTTTTAACTTATATACTTCTTTTTTTGCTAAATTATATTGGGATTTTTTTAAACTCTCCCCAGTGGGCATTTCGACGTCGAACGAACGTCGAGCGACGTCGGATCTCGACGTCGGATCGACGTTGGGTTTACGTTGGAAATGGAAATGTTATTTGACGTCGGATAAACTGACATCGCGCGACGTCGGCATTCCGATGTAAATCCAACGTGTTTTTTGAAAACTAAATAACGTTGCCTTATGCAGGGATCGAACCTCGATCTATTAGATACTAAATCCTACGCGCTTACCACTACACCACAGAATCATATTACTTTTTGTGTTTAATTTAGTAATCTATACTTGTAGCTATTTGGGAATTATTACTTTGATAAGAAATAATTTTGTTTAAATTTTATATAAATATTAAAACGAATAGTTATATATTATAAAAATGTATACTCGAAAATGTTAATAGTTAAAAAACTATGCTAGTGCATCATACAAAACCTCATGATGTTTTATCAACCATTATTCAAACTTCTTTCCATTAATAAAAAACACGCTTAGTTCACATATTTATTGAAGAGCGCAATTGCACACATATTGTTGGGTTTGGATTAAATTTTCATCAGCGATGTCTTACGACGTTGTTCCGACGTCGTTTTAAGGACGTTGGATTGACGTCGGAAGACGTCAAAAGACATCGGAGTACGTTAATATTATGACGTTGCCCGACGTCTTTTTATCGACGTTGGATCGATGTCAGTACTGCGGCGTTTTTTGGACGTCTTTTATAAGATGTCGGAACAACGTCAAAATACATCGAAACGACGTCAGGGGATGTTGAGATAAAGACATCGCCCGACGTCATTTTACTGACATCGGAACAACGTCGGAATAGGTCTTTTGACATCGCTGATGAAAATCGTACGTAAATCCGACGTCGGATTGACGTCGGGTGCCCACTGGGTCCGTCCATAAAGAAAATCTATTGATAGACCAGAGTTTATTCTTCTTTTTGATATCATTTATAATCTCTTTGTTAAGAAATATTTTTTTGTTATTATGATTAATTTTTACTAATGGAATAAATTTTTTAAAAACTGTTTGGTAATGCTAATTGAAAATTTCACAACAATTGTTTATATTTATGTTCAAGAAAAGAGTGCTCCAATCTATCGAGTGTATATAGTTTGATATCTCAAGATATATAGTGTATATAGTTTGATATCTCAAGATAATTTAAATTTCTTGAAAATTTTTAAATTTTCAAGAAATTTAAATTTTTTTTTAAAGGTGTTGTTCTTGCTTACAAAATTTTCACTTATAATGTATTGCCGTGTTATTACGTGATGACCTTGATTTCTGTTACCTAAAGGAGCTCTATGTTAAATCCATTTGATTCCATTGGCATTATTTACTATTATTAAGTCTAGTATGTTTGTTTTATGACAAATGGCTCTTTGAAATGTTGGATTTACAACGCATTGGTTTAAAAAACATTCATCAAGAAAATTTACAAATTTTTCAGCTTGAGTACCAACTGGTAATGCTTTGTTTAAAAACCATCTAATTGTGTTATAATTAAAATCACCTGTAATTATAAGATCTGTAAAGATTTTTTTTATCAACTTTTAGGCATTTTTTTTAATATTTGTAGTTTTCTCATTAGTAAGTTCATTTGAATTTGGCGGCATGTAAATGCAACTTCTAAAATCTTTTCAATTCCAAAATTTAGACAAGCTCAAACTTGTTCGGCATCTATACCATTTATAGTTGGCAGTGTGACTTCATATGAGTTTATTTGATTTTTTACGTAAATTGCAACCCCTCCTGCAATTTTTCCATTTTTACGATCACAACGATATAATACTTAATTTTCTATAAGTGTATCAGAAAGTTCGTTAAACTTAATTTTCTATAAGTGTATCAGAAAGTTCGTTTCAGCAATGCAGATTAAATCTGGAAAAGATGCCTTATTGGTGAAACCCAATTTATCTATTTTATTATTTAATGAAGTGGCATTAGTATAAAAACAAGTTAAATCAGATTTTAAGCCTTAAATTTGTTTTTTAGTTTATGCGGCACTTTGTTTTCAAATGAGGGATATTTGTTTTCAAAATTTTTAACAGACTCATCTAACAGACACTCGTTAAGTAAACTTAATAAATTGTTTTACATTGTTTGAGTTAGGACAATTATAAACTTTTGCTTGTTGAAAATTTGATGATGTTGTTATTCCAAATCCCATATCTATAATCTTTTATGTTTTTATTATCTAAGTCGTTATTAAGTCGATTACGTTCATCTATTAATTGTTTGAAAAAATGTCGTTAAGTTGGCGTTAAATCATAGTTTATATAAACATTTTTGAAGTAATTACTTTCTCTTAATTGCTTTGCTGTTTTAATTACCACAATGCTTTGAAGTTCTTTGCTTGAAAGTTCGACTAATATCGGGCTAGGATTTTTATTATTTTTGTTTTTTCTAAAACGATGTATTCTTGCAATTTTAAGGCTATCAGCGCCAATCTCCTCAAATACTTTTAAAACAGACTCTTTATCATCCAATTCTTTTTTCTTAATATCAAATTTGTTTGACTCCGTTATGCCGAACATTTTTTTCTTTACGTTTTATATCATTTTACTCAACTGTCATTGCACTAATAACATCAACTGCAGGAGCGTTAGGTTTGTTTGCCATTTTTTAAAAGGCTACTAAAACTTTCTATTGGATTTTCTTCTAATATTGTAAAAAAATTTTCTTTAATGTATTGTTTTCAACTTCAACTGAACTTAAATTATCCTCCAAAATTTTAATCTTCTCTTGATGTTCTTTGATAATCTTTTCTTGCAACTTTTCTACTTTTTCGTCTCGTTTCATTAACTCAGCAAATTCAATTTTTTGAACCATTTTAACCAAGTAAATATGGTTAATAAATTTCAAAACTTTTTTTAAATAGTTAAAAACACGTCCACTAACTATGTAGCGTGTGTACGTGCAATTTATTGATATATATATATATATATATATATATATATATATATATATATATATATATATATATATATATATATATATGTATATATATATATATATATATATATATATATATATATATATATATATATATATATATATATATATATATGTGGTATCGCTTATGTATCAAATATAGTGGTATCGCTTATGTATCAATGTCGATACTATCAGTATTGCTTCAATACCAAACGATACCGATAGTAAATAGAATCGTATAATATCGCATGGTCTCGAATCGAAACTCTCAATAAAACAAAAAAAAAAAAAAAATTAAAATGTGACTTATTGAATTTTTTTATTAACGACAATTGCTTTTTAGAGATTTAGTTATAGTTTTTTTAACAATCTACAATACTTTGGCTATCGTCCATTCGTTGTTTTTTCCTTTGTTGTACGTTCGCTGGTATTTTAGGATTTTCTTTTATTAATACTTTAATAATTTTAGGGCATTTAATGTAAATTTTACATCTAAACAATGTCAAATGAGTTAAATGAGTCAAATCAGTTAAATAATTTCAGAAATATTATTACCAAAAAAAGACCCTATGATAGGCGTGAATTTAATTTTTTTTTTTTTTTTACAATTAGTAGATGTATTTTATGTGAAACAAAAAAAATTCAGAGTGGGCAGACATACAAACTGGCGGTCAATTTAGCGAACTGTGCTTTGAGCGCTCTCCCTAAAAATCAGTCGATTTATGAATTATTGCTCCTCCAAATAAATTAGACTTTGTTAAATCTTAATAGTTAATAAACAATAACAGTTATAACGTAAAAAACAAACTTCATTTTTAATTAACAAAAACTAAAAAAATTAGACCCTTCGGAAAGACTTGAACTTAAATCTCCGGACTCACTGGCCATAACTTTATCCGCTTGGCCACGCAAAATACTACGATATACAGTTAAGTTATTATATGTAAAACTAATTCTGCCGGTAATAAATCTCAGGATTATTTCCCGGCATTGTAAAGATTAGTTTTCTTTAATAACTAAAATATATTTAATTTGTTTAATTTTTTTAAAACTAAAGTTTAGTTGTTGAATGTTGAACTCAGAACGAGAATTACGATAGGCGATAAATATATATATTGGTTTTCAAAGAAACAATGGCTATGATTATACTGATACACAATTTTAATATCAAAAAGTGATGCCTACATTGATGACTTAAATAGAGGAGGTCTTGTTATTTCTTTTGACAATAATGTTCAATGGTGCATATTCTGTTTTGCTTTATTTGAACAGTTATCAGACGAATTTTGTCGAACATTTTCGATGAATATATACAGAAAAAATAATTCTTATCTTTATCGAACAAGTATTTACTTGGTATTTATGACCAACATTGCCGCACTTTGGCAAATATATTTCTTAAAAATTTAGCAATAAAAAAATTATCAAGATGGTCCGAGGGGTTCAGGCAAAATGTTTTAAAACTGTCATGAAAATAAGCTTTTGTTTAAATTTTATATAAGAAGCATATTATAGTCTCTTAATTTTATTGTACTTTTATTTTAAAGCGTTTAATTAATTTTATTGTATTTTTATTTTTCAAATAAAACGTTTTTATTACAACATTTACGTAAAAACAATTCTTAATTTTTTCGAGGTTTACATGAAAAAATTTGGTAACCACCGCATACATTTTTTCATTAATATTGTAACGATTAATAATGCTTTAGTTATGCTTTTTACTTTTTCAATGATTAATAATGCTTCAGTTTTAGCGTAAAAAAGCTAATCCAAAACGAGTATTTTTGAAAACCATACCCTAACCAAACCCCAACACTGAAACTTAGGGTTAGGCTCCGGGTTTGGTTAAGGTTTGGCTTCGGGTTTGGTTTGGGTATGGCTTTCAATAAAATAAACTTTATTATTGGGTTCAGAAGTAGAGTATAATTTTCAATAAATGTTATGAGTAACGTGACTCGTTTTTTACGGACTTCTAAAGGGGGGTGCCTGAAATACACGTCCACCCAACAAAAAATTTCGCTTAAGTAGGACTTTTATTTTGAATTGGATATAAGTGTATATGATAGTGTATTGTAAAAGCGGGTCAAACCGATCACCGAACAAAAAAAATTAAGTAACTTCATTATTTTTTAAAATTTTAAACTATTTTTTTTAAATAAGATAGAAAATACCAACAAGCACATTATTTAATAATTTCTTTTTTTTAATTGTATTTGAAAATATGAAAACTAGAAGAAAAAAATGATCGCTTTTGGCAGAAAGTCTGTTAAAACCGATCAATATAAAATACATTTAATAAATTTAACATTTTATATATGTAAATGTATATATTTTTATATATTTTTATATAGCATAGCATACAGAAATAATAAAAGATTTGAGGTTTACATTTTTTACAACAACAAAAAATCTGAACCTATTACAAAATTTTTTGGCAAACATGTTTTGTTGCAGAGCCAAGTATTGCAATTTGGATTCTCGAATGACATCATGTCCGAATGTAATTCTTTTTTACACTTTCTGCATTTAATAACTTTTCTTCTTTTGGCTGAAGATGTTGTAATCGGTTCTATATATATATATATATATTTTGAATTACTTCTTTTTCTGCAAGGTTTGGCTATGGCATTATTTTTTTGATTTTATTTTTTTTATTTTTCGTCATTTGACACATTTTACAATGTTAACCTTACATTCAAATAAATTTATACAAATGCAAGCTGACTGGGGCAAGTAGAAGACAAAATGTCTTATCATCAAGCCCCTCCGTAAAAATAATTTTTTTTTTTTTTTTTACAATTTTAAATGATATATAAGAGTAAAATTAAAAAAAGTTTAAAAAAACAAATTAAAAGGTTTGAAAAAATCAAAAAGTTTAAAAAATAATTTCTAAGTTTGACAAAACTAAAAAGTTTGAAAATAATAAAAAATAAAAAAGTTTGAAAAAATAATTTACAAATCCGTACACATGCGTATACATATCCAATAAACTTCATAATATATTTAAAGATACAAAAAATATTTTGAATTGAAAAAGATTCCGAACATTTTACAGATTTATAGATCTTTTAAATATATCAATAGATTTTATTTTTTTCATGTTTTCGTCAATAACCGAGTTCCACAAGCACGGTCCCCGACATGTAATTGAGAAATCAAACTTTTTAAGTGATGTAAGTGGGATGTAGTAATTATTTATTGAGTGTCTTGTTTTATATTTATGATTGATAAGAGAGAAGTTTTTATAAAAATATTTTGGAATTATTTAGTTTTGAAGTTTAAACATAAATAACAAGTTATGGTAGATGTTTAATTTGTATACATTTAGTGCATTTATTTCCTTGAGTAACGGCTCGGCACATTCGTATCTATCCATGCCCAAAACTAATCGACTTGCTTGCTTTTGTTTTGTGTAAATAGTTTTAAGGAAAGATGAGTGATTGTTTGCCCAGGCAATATTACAATAGTTAATATGACTATGTATAAACGAAAAATATAAATTTTTTTAACATATTTTGTTCAAAAGAGGTTTAGTCTTATACATTATAAGTTTGCAGATGCTTTTTTAGCTTGTTTTTCAGCTAATTTGAGTTGCTTAACTTCTTCTCTTGTTTTGAGATGGTCTGCAACACTGTGTTCTGTAATATATTGGGCAGCAATTTTTGGAATATTAGGTTGCCTCAACTTTTTTACATGAGACTAATTTTTTTCTTGAAAAAAACTCTTTAGCTCATTTTCCATTTCGATTTTCATTCTCTCGTGTAGTGCTCTGTACTTGTCGGACCTCGAAGCTGCTGTTGCTGGTTCAGAAGATAATGCTAAAGACTTTATTGTTCGCAATAGCGTTGAAGACGTTGGTTGATTAGACGTTTCGGAGATAGCTAATGCCTGTTGATTGATTTTTTTTTTTGTTAAGTAGAAGTAACCCAATTTATTCAAAACCAGCAATAGCGTGCAAACCTGTAAAACACTTACCGCTCTCATACACCTGTTTGAACAACGTAGGAAAATTTTCTTTATCTAAGGTGTTGCATTTTGTGTCTTTGTAATATTTGGTAAGAACTGATGATGTGTGGGCTGGTAGACATATCAAAATTATATTGTTTTTCCGACATTGTAATATAGCTGCTAAACTGACGTGAGACGTATGTCCATCAAGATATAAAATACGAGTACCACTAATAGCTTGACATTCTGGTTTATACACCTTGTTCAACCATTCAATAAATGTGTCATGCTCCGTCCAACCAGATTTAGAAATTGAATATTTGGTGCCATTCGGACCACTTAAAGCCCACTCAGCTCTAAAGTTTCGTTTTGCTTTGTATACCACCAATGGTGGTGTAAAGTATCCATCAGCAGTTCAACAATTGTTCACTGTATCATGGATTTTTTCATTGTTACTAGTGAGTTTCAAAACACGCTTTGCATTTTTTTTGTCATATAACAGTTGCTTTGCCTTGATCACCACAGAAACTCGTTTCATCGCAATTTATCCCAGACAATTGATATTATTTAGTGACAACTTCAAAATAATTATCAACTATTTCTTGCGTACAAGAAGCCGCTCTGGCAGATGCTTAAGTGTGAGTTTTTCTTGTAGAAATTTCTTTCGATTTATAAATGCATAAAACCAGTCTTTGCCAGGCCTGCCGTTTTTAAATAGGCCTGATTGATTTATACGAAGAAGGTAACCGCATACGAAGTCCATGACATCATTTCGTGTTAAACTATAACCCCAATCACATAGGACAGTGGCGGATTAAGACTTCTTGGGGCCTCCAAATTTGCGGGACCCGGGGTTATAGCCCCCCTAGCCCTCCCTTAATCCGGCACTGACATAGGAACTTAAACACATGCACCATAATTGACTCTGTTTACTGTGAGAGTACGGT